AGTTCTCACTCTGAAAAGCACTTTAAATTAAAAGACAAGCGGCAATTAACTTACTACAAATAATACTAAAAACATGAATAATCACATGTCCTAAGGATTAGAAGCTCACCAAGAACTGGGACTTGGTTTCCTTTATAACACAGAATAATGCCCATAACTGTCATAGGCATGTAACAGGTGCTTGAACTATATTTGTCGAATTAAATGTTGCATACAATGGAACATCAATAGACAGTTTTTTCTCAGAAGATTTTAAGGCATATTTACTATATGAATGATACTGTGATGACTCTGTTAGTGTTTATGTTTTATCAAAGACTTTTGAAACCTTAAACAATCTATGTCATCTTCAAAGCAACAAAAGTGGAAAAGCTTATGAAAAATGCTCAGGATCACTAGCCATCAGGGAAATGCAAATAAAAACCACAATGAGGTTTCATATAACCCCGGTTACAATGGCTATCATCCAAAACTTAGAAAGTAAGAACTGCTCACAAGGATGTGGAGAAAAAGGTACCCTGATGCCCTGTTGGTGGGAATGTAAGCTAGAACAACCTCTGTGGATAACAATCTGGACATTCCTCAGAAATCTAAAATAGATCCATGATAAAATCCAGCCATGCCACTCCTAGGAATATACCCTGGGGTGAAATCAGCATGTGAATGTAACTCTTTCTGTACGCCCATGTTAATAGCAGCTAAATTCATAATAGCTAGAATATGGAATCAACCCAAATGTCCACCAACCAATGAGTGGATAAAGAGAATGTGGTATATATACACAATGGAATACTCCTTAGCCATAACAAATAATGAAATCCTGTTTTGCAACAAAATGGATGCAACAAGAGACCATTATGTGCAATGAAATAAGCCAGATGCAAAAGACAAATATCAAAGGTTTTCTCTGATTGGTTGTAGCTAATATATACAGTACAAAAAACAAAAAACAAACAGCATAACTTATATTGAGCAAAAATGACATCTTGTGATTTGAATGCTGTCTATAACCTGCATAACAGAGATCTATCTATCTTTTACTTGTAGAGCTCTTTGTTTAAAGGAACACTGGAACTTGTGATCATAAAGTAAATTGAAAGTGTGTTATCAGCCCTGTCCTGAAGTGCTGGCATCCCATTAGGGCGCTGGTTCTAGTCCCGGCTGCTCCTCTTCCGATTCAGCTCTCTGCTATGGCCAGGGATAGCAGTAGAAGATGGCCCAAGTCCTTGGGCCCCTGCACCCGCATGGGAGACCTAGAAGAAGCTCCTGGCTCCTGACTTCAGATCGGCGCAGCTCCAGCCATTGCAGCCATCTGGGGTGTGAACCAGCGGATAGAAGACCTCTCTCTCTGTCTCTACCTCTCTCTGCAACTCTGTCTTTCAAATAAATAAAATAAGAGAGGGAAGAGATGTACAATTTGGGACATGCTCAAGCTGACTTGCCCCAAATGGTAGAGTTAGAAACACACCAGGGGACTCCAATTTAATCCCATCAAGGTGGCATGTACCAATGCCATCTCACTAGTCCAAGTGATCAATTTCAGTTCACAATTGATCATAATGAAAGGACTAAGAGTCAAAGGAAGCACATAAATAAGTCTAGTACCTGCTAATACTAACCGATAGAATAAATAAAGGGGAGAGTGATTTAACATGGGAAGCGAGATACTTAGCAGACTCATAGAATGGCAGATGTCCTAAACAGCACTCTGGCCTCAGAATCAGCCCTAAAGGCATTCGGATTTGGCTGAAAAGCCCATGAGAGTATTTCAGGCATGGAAAGCCAAGACACTCTGGCAAACAAACAAACAAACAAACAACAAAAAAAAAACCTAAATGAAAGATGTCTGTGAGTGAGATCCCAGTGGAAAGAACAGGTCTTCAAAGAAGGAGGTACCTTTCTCCAAAGGGAGGAGAGAATCTCCACTTTGAATATGACCTTGTCTAAACAAGATAAGAGTTGGAGAACTCAAGGGGCTTCCATAGCCTTGGAAACTCATGACTGCAGCATAGGGAGATTACTGATGCCATAAACAGGAGTGTCAATTTGTAAAGTCAACAACAGGAGTCACTGTGCACTTACTCCTCATGTAGGATCTCTGTCCTTAATGTGCTGTACATTGAGACTTAATGCTATAATGAGTACTCAAACAGTATATTTCGCTTTGTGTTTCTATGGGGGTGCAAACTGTTGAAATCTTTACTTAATGTATACTAAACTGATCTTCTGTAAAAAAAAAAAAGAAGAACTTATCAATTCCCACCTTGACTCTCACTGGGATTAAACATGACAATAGGTCTGATCTGATTTCATCATCATTTAAAAAATCATCTATTATTTTTCACTTTATGTTTGTGTGGGAGCAAACTGTTGAAATCTTTACTTAATGTATGCTAAACTGATCTTCTGTATATAAAGAGAATCGAAAATGAATCCTCATGTGAATGGAAGGGGAGAGGGAGTGGGAAAGGGGAGGGATGAGGGTGGGAGGGACGTTATGGGGGGAAGCCATTGTAATCCATAAGCCGTACTTTGGAAACTTATATTCATTAAATAAAAGTTAAAAAAAAGTAAGTATATTATCATAAAAAAGTTAAAAGTAAAAAGTAAAGAAAAGATGAAGGAAGGAAGGAGGGATGGAAGTAGGAAAGTATTATTGCCTTCTTGCAATTATGTCTATGAAATTCATGAAATATGTTTCTATATATTAATACACCTTAAAATGTAACAAAAATATGTTCTAAAATAGTAATCTAAACTATTTTAATAAATTCTGTATGACTTCAGACTCCATTAGAAGTATATAAATGTAATTAACTGACTACATATGTATCTAAATTTTCAACACTTTTTATATTTAGAATACAAGGTAAAGAAGTGTTAAGTTACATAAGGTAAAGAAGGGATAAGCTACATAACATATGAATGTTTACTTTACAACTGTGTCATGAACGGACCATAAATCCCATTATCATTTCATTTGATCACTCAAGAATGGCGATAGAAAAAAAAAAGGGACACACATACATTCACATGCAAACAGCATACTGAAGAAAGATCATATATCCACAAAAACTGTTCATTATTCTTCCAATGAGAAGTTTTAAGATAAGAAATGAATACAAGATATCCATGTGCTATAATATGTATATTTACATATACATGTACATATTTTATGTTTGTATGCATGCATATGTGAGGATATATATTAGGGCAGCATTCACCTGAGTTACATCAGAAGAGAGTGGAGAAGCAAACAACCTATTGATTCACAATACATGTGTATCCTATTTCTATATATGAACATCAATAAACACAAGTGGACCAATTTGTAATGAGGATGCTGTGAGTAATTATATTACACAAGTCCAGAGAAATCATTCACATAAAACCTACCTTCAAAATCGACTCATAATGTTGTATTAATAAAACATACTACAACACCTTTAATAGATCTAGTAAGAGCCAAATGACACATCAATGGTATTCAGATTATTTTTAAGGACTTTCCTTGATAATTTCTCAGTTATAATTATTTATAAATATTTCACAATTTTTAAATAAGAAAAACAAAATTACTCTATTAATTTACCCTTAGATTCACTCTTATTCCAATGACAATATAACTCCATCTACCCTGTTCTTCTGAAAAAGTTCCTGTCAATTTTCAGATCATCAGTTTGCTGACAACAGATCTGCACAGAGTTTTAATCCAGTTATGCCTTATTACCTTTTAGGGATTGGTTCTAGCATGCTCTACAGATATAAAATCTGAGGATGCTAAAGTCTCATGTATAAAACAGTGTCATATGTACATACAAGCTATGTACACCCTCTGATCTATTTTAAATCATCACTATATGACTTACAATACTTAGCATAATGTAAATCCTAGGTAAATACTTGCTATGCTGCATGGTTTAGGAATAATGACAAAGAAAACTCTGTACATTCTTAATATAGACAACATTTTTCTTTTCTGAGAGTTTTCTTCTGTGTTGGCTGAATCAGAGAACATAGTGCTTAGGGGTGTGGAGGGCCTACTGTACTGCCTGCTTGAGCAGAGTATGCTCCTAGTATACTTTAATAGAATTTAAATTCACGTTAATTTCCATGTCAATGTAAATATGACAGTATAGGGAAAAGTCCTAAAGTAAAATGCTTTTGCATTCTAATTTGAAAAGCACTAATTAGATTGTTGATAAGCATCTTGAAGTGAACTCAATTAACACTCTATAGCAAGTAAAACAGGATGCAGTTTGTTTTACCAATACAGCTGCCAACAGAAACTAGAACTTTATTTTTACTGTTTAATTTCTTATATTTCCCTGAGACTTCCTTTTTTAATTGGCAACTCAAGATAATTATATATATAAAGCAATAACTAATTAAAATAAGAAAGCACAACAAAATTCATTGAAATATTCTTTTAATACAACAATGTTCTATTTTCTAAGCACCTAACTGGTATCTACAGCAAAACTACTCCAAAACTTAAATCTTATGGGTATTGTGTTGTTCTATATTCGACAAACAATGTTACTTCGATGCACCTCACATGTATACAGTTTAGTATTTTTCATATGTGTTCTTTGTACCTACACAGCTAGATAAAATGTTAAGGGAAATTCTGAGTTTCTTGAAAAGTTTCACTGGTGGTCAATTACTAAATTTTGCTTTGGGAAACTATCCTGAACACAAAAGAAAAATTATTTGAATAAATATTTTGATGTTATATTTCATACTATCTCTATAGTTCAAAGAAGCTAATAATTCATAGGAAAAATACTTATTTTACAAATACAGAGACAGAGTATATTATCTAACTGTTTTAATTTGGATGAGCAAAATTACAGTTACTGTTTGATTCTAAACAGCTTTCCATGCATTAACTTAACTTCAAAACAAATCAAACAAGAATACAGTAAAAATCTGGAATGTGCTTCAGATAATTTTCTATATTTTAGATATAGCCCAAAAAAGCTACTGATTTTTCTTACCAGTGCTGTCATCATATACAACAGTGACGGTTTTCCACTTGAAAAACTGCACCAAGTCTAAAATGGCACGGCTGAGTGAAGAGAAGTCTGGGTAGAGACTGACATAGAAGGAATCTTTGTTGTCTGACACCTGGTGCTTCCAGCGGGTCTGTATGTGGGGAACCCCCAGAGCATTGCAGATGGACTGCACTGCGTTTGCTGAAGAGCTGTGTGAAGGGCCGAAGATGGCAGCCACCCCAAGAGACAGCTGATCACAGGCTGAAGAGGAGATAGAAGTCTGTCAATAATGAGAGGAGACATGCCAGTGTGCCAAAGATACCACATTATTATTGCAAACCCAAAGGCAGCATCCAGAAGAAATATTTGTTTTTCTTTAATAGAACATTTGAATTTCATCAACTTTGCATTTTCCCTGACCCTGACTATTTTCTATTTATTACAAGGGAATTGGTTCACACAGATGCATGCAGCTTAATGTTCAAGTAATTCTGTAAATAACATCAAGGGAGAAACAAAGGGGTAGAAAGAGGGGAGTAATATTTTTGAGAGGAAAGTATTCATTTTTGGAAAAACAGGTTTTATTACAAGGATGGAATAATAGTGTTGTTTTAAAATTCAGTGGTCATCCTTTATTCATTCAAATTGTTAATGAGAAGCCATTTGCTCCACCTTCCCCATGCAGCTAGTTATGGCTACACACAATAAGATATTTACAAATATCTAATGATAGAGGTGAGTCACGCACACAACCACCATGGAAAACCTGCTGTGACACTTAGGTTATTTCCATATGGAGTAATATTAAGAAGAACACACCAACAATACATGTAGTAATTCAGAGAGGTATACCACACTATAGGTTGCACAGATTAATAAATAGACTGTCCAAACTTGAAATTCCATGAGTTGCATTGAAGCAAATAATGAAGTTTGGGCCTAAAAAGTGAATAACTATTCGAAACATGAAAAATTAACTATCTGAAGACCTGGCCTGTGGAATAACCTTATGTTTGTTTTATTTGTCTGGCAAAGGGAGATTTAGGTTAAAGGACTAGAAGTGTTTCATGAATTTTGATAGAATTTAACATTTTAAAAAAATGTTAAAGTATGAAATTTCTAAAAGTAGTCTTTCCCCCAACAGCCCATGATTTGTACATCACAGCAAATATTTCCTAAGGGCTGAGTAGGACTGTTGTTGAGATTTAGGCATAGTGTGGTATTCTGACTTAATATCCCCAAAATGGATATATATATATATATATATATATATATAATTATCTGGTGTTTTTCCTTAGTTTTCTGCCTAAAATACAACGCAATGAATGAATTCCTAAGCATAGAGTTGTTTAGTAATTAAGTAAATTTTAGTTTATTTCAAAATTCAATTTGATGTAAATAAATTGATTTTGAATATACAGATTCTTTATGTTAGATGGTGATTGGAATTTTGAATCAGTAGAGACTGGAGTCTAAATTTTATAACTAATGTGGGATTTTAATTCATACACATTGAGAATAAAAGGTTTTCCTTCACTAGAGTTCTGCTAAATTAGAAATTAGGAAAAATTAAAAACATTTTTATGTTATTTAGAATTTTCCTAAGTGCATTTCAAATAAGACTTATAATTGTTAGCTATAATTGAGTCATGTAAAAATAGCATATAATTCAAATAGTAATCTAAGTGCTAATACTTCAAAGTATTCATTGGTTGCACAAAACAGTAATACCTAGTAAATGTATGAGAGAATAGGAGTGTCAGGGAAAAGGTCAAAATTTAACATTTAATTTCCTACTATTTTCACACCTTAGATAAAGTTTAAAAATTAGAAAAATGTCCAATTTATTTTTCAATTTTAAAAATTAATTAAATTTATTTAAGTAATTTAGTTATAAAAATGTCCAATTTATTTTTAATTAATCATCATATTATATATATATATATATATAAACACTTACTGAGCTCAGGAGAGTCCAAAACTATATTGGCCTCAGAATGGCCTTTTACATATTGCTATAAGAAATAAAATCTCAATTATAAGACTTTCAGAAGACATGATCCCAAGCAGGACGTTCACTTTTTCAATATCTCTCAAAGAAAAATACTTAAAGACTAACTTGAGCTTTTTCTAGCTCCAGATCAAAGTTAACTGGTTAATTGCATTTTCAATGGGTTTTTAATGGGTAACAGCCCTTTAAATTCCTTATAATATATCGGAAACCAGATGACTTATCATCTCATAATGTTGCTCAGGCATTCCCAGAATACTATCCTTTTTGTTGTCTGAATATTCTAGTATTTTTAATCTTATTCCTTTGAAGTCACCACTAAGAAATTTATTAATATTTTTTCTATACTGCACTTACCTCCCATATTATTTGGTCTAAATGCTTTTATTAAAAGTAGAGCTTCTTCTTGCTAATGAAAACAATCATGAACTATGTCACTAATCAGATGCATTTGCCTTGCAGTTAATGACTTATTTTGCAATTATGATGACAAATATAGTATTTTGCAGTAACCTTTAACCTTATTTTTCTAGCTTTGAAAGCCTTTCATGACCCTGACATAGCTCCAAAATTTAGAAACTTGCTTATATTCATAAAGATTTGAATTCAAAGGGCAGGCAGAATATGGCTTTGATAAACACTAGTTAGCTGCTGGGGGAAAAAAGAGTACTTTCATCTCAAGCAATATTGTACCTTATCAGCTTCCATTAATATTAATAACCTTCCTTAGACTAAATCTGTATCAACTTAGAATTATAAATAATTATGTGCATTTCCATCAATGTAAGACAGCTGGTAAAACAATATTAGCATTACAGAAAGGCAAACATTGCTGAAGATATTTTAGGACAAATGCTTTGTAATTTCACTTCTTTGAGAAAATGTTTATCATGAATTTGAATTCCTATTCTTTGAATGTCAATTATACAAAACAAAAGATCACCTACATATGTAAGAAAAGATTACCTACGTGAAACTATGGAAACCCTCTTCATACTCACTACTGACACTGCTGTTTTCTCCCTCATGTATTAATACTGAACTCATTTTTCACAAAATTATTTTCCTATTCTTTTTTCTAAAAAATATTTTCAACAGAATAAAATGAAGTTTATAAAATATGGTTATTCCTTCATGTAATCAATTTTTATATCATTAACCAATTATTTTTCAGGACAATTAGAAACATAAACTGGTTAAGAAAATCTGAGAATGGAATACACATAAACTATGGTTGTTCAAAATTTTCCAATTAAGTTTTAACATTATAAATCCACTTGGAACCACAGAATTTTCTAGGTAGCTATCTCAACACTACAGTAATAATATAGCAGGGTTGACATATATGAAATAAAAACTGTTAAGAATGGATTGAAAAATTGAAAACAATTCACTGATATCTATTATTTTATTTTAGTCAGTTCTTGAAAATAGGAATAGCTCAATAACAAGACAGGATTACCAGTGGGGGAAAGTGTTCATGTCACAGGTCTAATTGCATTTTATGTCATAATATTTTTTCAACAGATTACATTACTGTAGTTTGTAAAATTTATGTGCATTTTGAAAATAAATCTTTGTATGCAAGATTCTTAACAACAATTTAACAACATGTTGATATTGACAAATCTCTTGAGAATACCTTGGAAATTTGAATTCTAGAAAGTTAAATACATATCAATTACCTTTCTTAGATGCTTCGAAACTGTCATAGAGGTTTATCTTCTGGGTGTCATAGGTTAGGGTGGTATTGGGCAACAATGTTCTGTTTCTGTTGATTGTGTTCACAGCGAATCTGAATGCAAGTTCCTCAGCTCCCATTGGGCCAGATTCCACATATTCAAAAATACCACCTGGTAAAATGAAAGAGAACAAGCACACAATTCTTAGCAGATAGAGAAAACATCAGAAGCATTTTATATTAGGTATGCCTTTGCATTTGTGCAATTGTGAGACCCAAGCATTTGGGCCATCTACTGTTGTTTTTCCCAGGCCATCAGAAGGAAGCTGGATCAGAAGTGGAGCAGCAGGGACACAAACGGGCACCTATATGGGATGCCAGCATTGCAGCCTGTGGCTTTACCTGCTATGTAGTCACAATATTGGCCTTGAAAAACACATTTCTTAAAAAAAAAAAAAAGCACAATAAAGGAGATTAGCTCATTGAGTTCATTTCAAGATTAAATGCTGGGGCTCCTACTGTGGTGTAGAGGGCTGGGCCTCTGCCTGCTGTGCCAGCATTCCATATGGGTACTGTCTTAAGCATTGGCTCCTCCACTTCTGATCCAGCTCCCTGCTAATATGGCTGGGAAAGCAGCAGAGGATGGCCCAAATGCTTTGGCCCCTGTACCCACATGAGAGACCAGGAAGAGGTTCCTGGCTCCTGGCTTGGGCTTGGCCCAGCCCTGGCCACTGTGGCCATAGAGGGAGTTAAGCAGAGGATGAAAGACTGAAAGACTTCTCTCTCTGTCTCTCTCTTTCTCTATCTGTAACTATGCCTCTCAAATTAATACATAAATCATAAAAAAGTCCCCCCCCCACTTTCTTTCTTTCTCTCTCTTTTCCTGCATTTCTGCCTTTCAAATAAATAAATAAATTTTAAAAATTAAATGTTAGCTTGTTCAAAGGACTTACAAGACTGACTATCAAAGGGTAGCATTCAATAAGTGTTTAAGATTTCATTGAATTTTCAAAGTAATCCCAAGTAATATTATTTTACAGGAAATATTTCTTTGGCTTAAGATAATACAGCTATCAGGTGACAAAGCCAGTATTGAAATCTGCTCATGCCTGACCTCAAAGCCATTGTCTATCACACTACAAGAAAATGGATTTTGCAAAAGTGTAGATGTATCCAGAAGACAATAACATGGCAAGTGAAATAAGCCAGGAACAAAAAGACATTAAAAATATTCTCACTTATGTCTGGAATCTAAAAACCTGATCTCACAAAAGCAAACAGTAATAATAGTGGTTGCCAGATGTTTGGACAGGGGATGAAAGGGGGAGATATTGTTCAGTGGGTAAAACACTTCAATTGGATTATAGGAATAAGTTCTGGAGACCCAATGTACAGCATAGTGACTATAGTTAGCAATAACATATACCAAAAAAATGGCTAAGAGAGTAGATTTTAAATAATCTTGCCATAAAAACTTAAGTAAGAGAGATGATGGATATAGTTATTAGCTTGGACAATCCACAATGTTTACATATATTGAAATGCCACAGTGCAACCCATAAATCTATATAATGGTTTTTTGCCAATTAAAAATAAAAGGAAAATATAACAAGCTGACTCTGACAATGCATAAAGATAACAATACACCAAAACCAAATGGAATTTGTTCCAGGAATTCAAATTATGTTTAACATTTGAAACTAATTATATGAGGATGGGTTCCAAGATGGCGGAGCAGGGAGGGAGCTTACTGCTCTAGCCCAGGAGAAGAGAGTTTTTAAAAAGTGTAGAGTGTAGTCTCAAGGAAGAATTAGGGAGAAAATTGCAGAGGAAACTCTATTAAAATTACCTGGACATAATGGACTTATGTGGAGGGCATGGGCGCTCATAGCTCGGTCTCCAGCAGCTGAGAGCCTACGCACCAGCATTGGAAGTGAAGTGAGACCAGACCTCAGCAGCCCAAGCCACTGGTGAAAAAGTTGCAGGGAGAGCTTAGAAGAAACCTGGGTTGGAGCCCCATGGGGGAAAGTGTACCAGCCAAACTAGAGGAGAAAAAAAAAATGGGATGGACAATGTTTCTCTCTGTCTGATCACTTTACAATGGCATCCTGAAACAAACCGATAGAGTATGCACCATTTTGGATATATGTAACACCTGCACCAGCTTCTTGTCTGTGCCTGGAAAGCAACCAAGTGGAGACTTCTGACTTTGGTGGGGAGAACTAACTAGGGACTAAGAGCTTGTAACTGTGTGAGGCTTCTCTACCAGGACTGTGAAAAAACTGAGGGTATGTGGGAGAACTCACGGTGTGGCTGGGACTTTGAGCAATCACAGTGGGAACTCCATAAGCTTGGAGTTTCCTGGTTACCTGGTGAGACATTGATGGGGAATCTGAACTTAGACTGAGGACTGCACAGGTCCTTTGTGTCATCCTTGGGACAGAGTGGACAAATATTATACCCACTGGGGCTAGCACTCAGGCACTGATCTCCATTGAGGAGAGGACCTCAGCTGAGCAGAATAAACTTTCCTTCTGAGTAAAAAGAAAATACAATGAAAAGATTTACCAGGCTAAATCTAGGTGTGTCACCTTAGGCATGCCCTTAATCCTGGAAAACTGAACAGAGCTCTCTGACCACACCCACTACAAGCCTCTAGAGATTCATTGAAAGCAGACAATCTGCTTATCTACAGAGCCAAAGTACAAAGCTAAAAGCCACCACAGAAAAAAAAAGAAAAAAGAAAGAAACCAATGAGTATCTCCAAAAATGCTGAACAACAATCACTCCAATTCAAGAAACAAGAATAAAAAAGATAACATCATGCCCCCAAAAGAACATGATACTTCAATACTAGATTGTGAACATGATGAGATAGAAGAAATGCAAGAAATGCAATTCAAAAAATTGATCATAAGATTACATACAAATAATCAGAAGCAAATGCACAAACTACTGAAATCTGTACAGGATATGAAAGAAAATTTCTCACATGAAATTGAGATCTTAAAGAGAAATAAAAATGAAATGAAGAATTCAATAGAACAAATAAAAAATTCAGAGGAGAGCCTTAACAACAGAATTAGTGAAGCAGAAGAGAGAATATCAGACTAAGACAAAGCACAGGAAAATATACAGTCAAACCAAAGACAAGAAGAGGAAATTAGAAAACTAAAAAATACTGTCAGGAATCTATAGTATACTGTATAAAAATTTCAATACACGGGTTCTAGGAGTTCCTGAAGGCATGGAGAAAGAGAAAGGATTAAAAGGTCTGTCTAGTAAAATAATAACACAAAAAGTTCCCTGGTTTGGAGAAAGAAAGCAACATCCAAGTACAGGAAGCACAGAGAAGTCCTAAAAGACATGACCAGAAAAGATCCTTGCCATGACACATTGTAATCAAACTTACCACAGTAAAAGATAAAGAGAAGATTCTAAAATGCCTGTCAAAAAAAAAAAATGTACACGAGAGAAATGCCAGATTATGTTCAGAGGACTTCCAGTTAGATTCACAGCAGACTTCTCATCAGAAACCCTACAGGCTAGGAGAGAATGGTGAGATATAGTCCAAGTCTTAAGAGAAAAAAGCTGTCATCCTAGAATATTATATCCTGCAAATCTCTCATTAGTGAATGAGGTAAAATAAACACCTTCCATGACAAATAGGAATTGAAAGAATCTGTCACCACCCATCCAGCACTACAAAAGATGCTTGCAGATGTGTTGCACAGAGAAACACAGATACATGGTCATCACTAAGAAGGTAAAGGAAGAAAAGCTCTCATTAAAAGTTTAAAGGAAACTCAAAGTAAAAAAAAGGAATATTTTTGGAAGAATATCAGGGCCAAGTTGTTACTTATCAATAGTCAACTTGAATGTAAATGGCCTCAACTCCCCAGTTAAAAGACACAGACTGACTGAATGGATTAAAAGACAAAGCCCATATATTTACTGCCTACAAGAAACACATCTCAGCAACAAAGATTCATGCAGGCTGAAAGTGAAAGGATGGGAAAAGATATTCCATGCCAAAAGAAACCAAAAAAGAGCTGGTGTAACCATTGTAATATCAGGCAAAATAGATTTTAACACAAAAACTGTTAAAACAGAAAAAGAAGAGCACTATATAATAATTAAAGGATCAATTCATCAGGAAGATGTAACTATTATAAATGTGTAGGCAATTAATTACAGGGCACCTGGCTATTTAAAAGAAATGTTAAGAGACTTAAAGGGAGACTTAAACACCAATACAATTGTATTGGGGGACTTCAATACTCCACTTTCAGCAATGGATAGATAAATCAGACAGAAAATCAACAAGGAAACAGCAGAGTTAATTGACATTATAGACCAAATTGACCTAACAGATATCTACAGAACTTTTCATCATACACTTAAAGAAAACACATTCTTCTCAGCAGTACATGGAACCTACTCTAGGATTGACCACATGCTAGGCCATAAAGCAAGTCTCAGAAAATTCAAAAGAACTGAAATCATACCACGCATCTTCTCAGACCACAGTGGAATGAAGCTGGAAATTAGCAACCCAGGAATCCCTACAGCATACGCTAACACATGGAGACTGAACAACATGCCCTTGAATGAACAGTGGGTCATAGAAGAAATCAAAAGATAAATCAAAAATTTTCTGCAAACAAATGAAGATGACAACACAACACATCAAAACTTATGGGATACAGTAAAAGTAGTGTTAAGACGAATGTTTATAGCAATAGGTGCTTACATCAAGAAATTGGAAAGGCACCAAATAAATGAGGTTTCAATGTATCTCAAGGATCTAGAAAAATACAGCAAACCAAACCTAAAACTAGTAAGAGAAAAGAAATAATTAAAATTAGAGAAGAAATCAATAAAATTGAATCAAAAAATACAAAATCCAAGCAAAACAAAGGGCTGTTTTTCTGAAAAAAAATAAACAAAATTGACACACTGTTGGCCCAACTAATCAAAAAAAGGAGAGAGAAGATCCAAACCAATAAAACCTGAGATGAAAAATTAAATGTAACAAGCGACACTACAGAAATAAAAAGAATTATTGGAAATTACTACAAAGAGCTGTATACCAACAAATGGGAAACCTAGAAGAAATGGATGGATTCCTTGACACATACAACCTACATGGATTGAGCCATTAAGACACAG